TTTACCATTAGGGATTGATTCGACAAAAAAAAATTATTAGTCAATGATAAGTATTTACATGAAAGAGCGATGCCAAATCATGATATCCATCTTCCCTTTTGCCCGTTATTCTCAAGAATACGTTAATCTGCACTTGAAATACGTCAAATTTACGAGGAGTAATGTGCTGTTAACTTTCTTATCATATTTAATTACCTTACCTTGCAAGGAGAAAAAAGAGTGAGCCTTGAAATCCCAGAATTCTTATCCACTTCATCGGCTAGTTTGTTGAACTTGTCCTCGAGATCGTAGACTACCTTTACACGCCATCACAAACATCAATATGTGAGAAAAAGTTTAAAATCTTCACCTTCAATTATAAGTAGAAATTCGACTTCAACATAACCACAAACTTTATCGTTAAATAATAAATTAGAATCTTTTCATCCAATAATAAGCAAAAAGTTGTACATAATGAAAAAAGAGTGAGCCTTGACATCACAGAATTCTTATCCACTCCATTGGCTGACTTATGAAACTTATCCTCAAGATCACATATAGTAAAAAAATTAAAACTTCACATTCTACAATAAGCAGAAATTTGATTTTTTAACAAAATCTTTAAGTTGGATGTCTTGAATTCACTAAATTAATGGTTATCGAACTTGTCTTCGTCTTCGAGATCATAAAATACCTAACACCCCTTCTTCACAAGCATCAAAATTAGGAACAAATTTAACTTTTTAAGCAAAGAGATTTATTGATTGAAAATAAGTAGAAAATTGGCCATAATAAGCAGAAAATTGAACACAAGTCCCAGTATTTTTATCCACTTCATCAGCTAAATGATGAAACTTATCCTCAAGATTATACATTACCTATTCATCCCATCGAAACCATACAAATTCAGAAAAAAACAATTATATCTTCATATTAAGTTATAAGCAGAAATTTGACTTATAATTGACCACAAAAATAAGCAGAAATTTGATACCTCTACTTGTTTTCTACCAGTTTTCGAATCAGAAGCCGTCGCTCTGATTGTTGAAAATCGAACCCCTCTTTCAAAACAAGATGGGTTTTGCAATTTATACGAGGAAGGAATTGAAAAACTAGCTTTCTTGAAAGAACTCGAGTGGGTCTTGCCATTGCAGGAACTGTAAAGTAGGTGACTGCCTATAAAACTGGAAGAAGCCATGTGATTCTGTATTAATCACAGGAGATCAATACAGTTATCTCGAAATTTGCTTCTCCAATTCACTCAATTGAATGCTATTCAAGAAATAATTTTGTGTTTCCATATGAATTGGGAATGTGCACCTCGTGGGTATAATTTTATATATACATGTATGGTGGAATTCAGAAGTTTTGTAGGGATATACATGAAAATGGCCCAAATAGTATATAACCTTTTCCAAAATGACCTTTGACTTTTTTAGAAATTTGAAACTACC